AAAAAAGCGGATATAGCGTGTATTATAATAATATTTAGGTCATATTATAATGAACACCGCGCTAGCTAAGAGCTTGAGTGACAGTATTTAAATAATAACATGACCTAGACACTGTTTTCATTGAAGTCACCAACAGTAATAAGTAGAAGTACATATTTCGAAGGTCACTGACGAGGAAGGTATTTACATCATATTTAGTGAAGTGCAGACGTAGGTCATCGTCATGTTATCTTTATTATTGTCATTTCTGTCGTGTGCGAATATTGAATACACACATACATAAAAAAAAAAAAAACCTATAATATTCGATACGTACATATCATTAATTTTATATTATACAAGTAAAACACATTATATACGTGTGACGTAAAGAATGCGTTTTCATCTCACGAACTATAAATGAACGAAAGTAAATGGCACTTTATAATATACTATATGGTTATATATGTATTAAACATTCATTCAGTTGCATTCATTTAGGTGCACTATAAATCTGAGATATTTTGCTCATCTAGTTTTTAAATGCTCATGAACAAAAAATTACTACGATACAAAAAAAAAAAAAACAAAATTACGCCGTGATAGAACATAGAAATACTTCATAAACGGTATAAATATAAAAACATATTTTTTTTTATTCACAATTGAAAGGAGAGTGTAGCAAGTTATAAATTGGCCATCGTGTATACACAGGTATAATATATATAACCGAGTATAATCATAGACAGAAAATCACCAAATCTTCAACTATATATAATAGCCACGCTGATGATGCTGCTACAATGACCGGTTAATCGACACTGCCGTTTTTACGGTCAATTTGGATCTCCGCATCCGTCAACAAACGGTCGTATAATATATAGTATATACTATATACACGTGTACAATAATATATAATTTAAGTATACGTACCTTTATTGACGGTAGTCTATTATTAACTTATACGAATGGATACAAGAGTTATATTTCCATAGGTAGGTACCTACATAATATAATATATTATATTTTCTCTGTTAGATTGCTGTATGATTGTTATAATATATTGTGTAAATATGGCAATAGTTTGTTTACATAGCGCATGTCATCACGATCAATACAATACGCATTATACACCATGATTACAATATAATAAGACTTAGGTCTACAATATTGAATATTATAATTATTATTATATTATATACTCTCAGATATGTATTGTAATCAAAATAAAATTAATACCCCGTATTACTATAAAAATCGAATTGGCAAAACTTATAGAAGTCGTCATTATATTGTCATTATTATTATTATTCATCTTTGTATTCAAAAGTGAAATATACATTACTCCGAGCGAAAGTTCTCTCCATATTATTGATATTAATTAACATGACTAAGGTGTTTAAAATATAATTTTTTATTGTTTATATTGTAATAAATCACGTTTATAAAAAAAATGACATATCTACAACCCCAACAAAAAATTATATGTTCAAATTTTTCAAATTTTTCATCTCTATTTCACTTTATCATATGTATTATAAATAATAATTATTTAATAAGTTCAAATTACTTATTTTATCAAGAGTAAGTATAAGAATATGCTATTTAAAGGCAATTCTAATTTAATTTTAATGGCGAATAAAAATATTTAATCTATAATATACTTAAGTACCTACTAAATCAGAGTTTTTTAAAAATGGTCATATAATAATATCAGCTATTGTGGTTGTATAATAATTAGATTATTTAAAAAATAGATTTATATGGAGTCAACTTACGAGTACATTATTATTTATAATAGATTTACCAATTTTTCACACTATATATACCCGTATAAGATAAGTTTATCCGTGTCAAAGTGTTTTTTTTTCTTGTTATCATTTTCAATAAACGAACGTAATAAAAAAATAATCTATACGAATAAATAATTTGGAATGTCTTAGAGCCTTAAGGTATATATATATAAAAAAAAAAAAAAACAAAAAACAAAAAACAATAATAATTAACATGCTAGCTTATAATATATTTCTTTTGTATGTTAGATAAAAATTTGTTAAGGCTACTGTGAGTACTATACTGTAAGTTTGTTTCATAAAAAAACACTTTCATGGATAAATACATTACGGGTTGTATGATCTCTTATATATAATGTGATGATCCTCGTTTATAATATTTTATAATGTAAAATACTTACCTATGATATTATCCTGATCACTTATGTTGATTTATAATAATAAATTCAATTATATTACTTATATTTTATTAATTTAATATATTTATTTACTTTTATCTATTTAGGACAAATAATAATACTTATACTATTATATTTTATTTAACATATTTTATTAATTTACTAGGAATCTTGCTTTTCTTAAAAAAATTTAATCTATATTAAATAACTATTTATAAAATAATTTTACTTTAGTATTTATTTGTTAAAAAATAAAATATAAAAATATGTATATATTGTACAAATATGTACAAATACGAGTATAATATGTAAATTATGACATGCTGTTATCTTTACTTAACAGAAAGTACTTACAAAATATGTGAGCTATAATCTCAGAATAACTTGACATATATTATGCGAATTTTCAGTATCTTTAACTGTTTAAAAATTTTTGAATTTAATATTAGGTGGTATATACCTAAACTCTCAAGTCTTTTAATATACACTTATTAAACTTAACAATTATAAATTACACAAATATATTTTAAATTTTCCAATTATTAATCTAATGATTCTTAGTAAACAATAAATATTAACAGTAAGTATTAATATACTGTATAACAATAATAACTAATTAATTAAAAGTTTAAGTCCATTAAAATTATTACAATGTGAGTACACTATTTTATATTTTTCTTATTTGCAATAAAAACTAACTAAACCATTTATTTCACTTTTAGTTAAAAAATATAATTGATATTCATACTCTTTGTTTAAAAACGATGAATTTATAAGCATTATTTTATACTTTATATCAGGCACCGGCAACCCACGACCCGTGGAATTTTTTTCAGTGGTTCTTCAAATACATATCATAATGTTAAAAATGTCAATTAAATTTAATTATTATAAGATATAAAATAATTTTAAATGAATTTAAAATTATTATAAAAATATATCAATGAACAGCGCTTGGATCATTTCTCATATTGTAAAATATAATCGAATTATCCAAATCAACTTCATACTTGGAAACTATAAAAATTAATTTTTCAAATAATAATTGAAAACCTTCAAAATGCATTTTTAATACAACATTTTGACTTTTATACACAAAAATAAGTCAAGTTGTTTCACAACCTTATTTCTGTTGACATTGACGATATTGAATCTAATTTACAGATGAAAGTCATAGAATTGCAAAACAATGATGTTTTTTTTTTTTTTTTAACTGTTTTTAAAGAAAGTAATGAATTAAATTTATTTTACTCAAGTCTTTCCAAAATAGGCTTTTTAAGTCTTACTAAAAAATGTACTACTTTTGATAACACTTATCTTTCTGAATAAACATTAAAAAAAAAAAAAAATAGAATAAAAAATATCGAAAAAATAAATATTGTTTACGATTAAATGACGAACACTTGAATGTAGTTTTAAGAATATCAATATTCGATATGAAAGCGGATATAAACGAATTAGCAAGAAAAATTCAACCTTAAAAATCACACTAGAAACTAAATATTTATATTCTTTTTAATTCAAGAATTAATCAATATTTTTTTTTTTTAATTCTTAAATTTTTTCTATTCATTTTTTTTTTTTATTCAATGTTAGTTTTTAATGATATCCTTGTGAAACTCTTATTATGATTTTTGATATCCTTAAAATATTAGTATTATATGTTCAATTTTTTTTTTTAATAACGTTTACTTTAATTTTGTATGCGGCCCTCAATGGCTTAATGAAAAGTTAATAAAATATATGGTCTACGTAAGTAAGAAGGTTTCCGACCCCTGCTATAAACAATTAAATTTAACATACGAATATTTCGATAGTATTATTTTAATGCACAAAATTATGAGAAAAATTTAACAATAATTAAAATCATTAGCTTTATAGTTGTTTTTTTTTCAATGCATATTATATCCATTAAAAAAGAAACCAAATATCAGGGTTAATATGTTCTATTTAATCCTACAAAAACTTCCTAAATTAATTATTGTAACAATGATATGATATGATAAAAATACTTTTTACTATTTATGAGAACTCTCCAAATTTCGTATTCCGGAAACATATACACGGAAATTTATAAATCTTAATAGAATATAGTTAAAAAATTCAAAGTTATGTAATTTAACTATATAAAATTATCTCACAGTATAATTTTTAAATAAAAAAAATTAAAGTACAATGAATGAATGCGATTTAAATTGTTATATATTTTCATTAGTATAATAACAGTAATAAGGAAGAATTACAGTAGAAATTTAGTATAATGTTAAAACCCAAAAACATTCTAACTGGTAATAATTTAATTGTAGTAAATTTTACCATACATATTTAAAAATCATTAAAAAATTATAGTTTCTAACATGTTATTTCTATAACTATTGTATATTTATAAATTTTACACATGTTCATACAAATAAAATAATTTTAATACATAAGTAGTATAAATATTTACAAAATAATTTAATCAAAATACAAAATAAATAAATAAAATACCTATTGACTAAAATGTTAAAGAGACTTTGAAAGATATTTTTAGCTTTTTAAAAATAGAAAATGTGAGCTTTATGTTCAAACTTAGATAATAAAAATAACAAAAACATTGAACCTGTAAATATTATTACGAGTATTTAGGTAGTTAATTATTTATAGAAAGCGTAATATTCTTAATTATATTTTATTGTTCATTGTAATTTAAATCCAAAACTCTAAGTCAAAATAAAATAGAACATAATAATATGTAGATACGTATTTATTCTTATAAAATATCCTTCATAAGTTTAGTAACAATTTTACGGTTTTATCATAAAGCAATAATTATTTATATTATACTGACCTCAAGAATTAGTATATATCGTCCTATTGTGCGTCCAATTTTGAATAACTTATCGCAATGCGAGGGATAATTACCGCCACTCAATATAATATTATGGTTACTGGATCGTTTTTCCGTGGGTATAACAATAATGTGACGATATGCAGTGAACAACGGCCGCTGGTCAATTTTAAAACACGACAATAATAATAATAATAATAATAATAATAATTTTAAACAAAAAATATTGTTTACGCGATACGATGACACTATATAAATATGTTAGGACGATCGCGTCTCGCAAGATTTCGGTTAAGTTTTCGCGCACGTGTATGACTTCGGCAGGCGTACCGAACGGACTGACCGCCGGATACACGGCACGGACCAGGCTAGCGTTCAGACACGACATGTAACGGGTTTTCTCTTCCACCATCACATGTAGGGACTTCAACGCGTATTATAACACAACCGACACGTATTAATAATGATAATAATTTTATTATTTTAATAGGTATTTAAATCTGTAGTGTTTTAAACTAGGGCTTATTTACGGTAATGTTCAGTATTTGCTTGATGTTTCGTAAAAAAAAACTTACGCACACCGTTCATACTGCGCAAAATTGGGTTAATTTTTATTCTCTAGTAAAAATAACTTAAAATAAAATTGTCATCTCTTAAAGACACCATTTAATTGATTGTGTTTTGGAGAGGAGCAAAAATAAGTACACAAACTTCTATGAGACAAGGAATCCATTAATTAACTCCACTAAATAAAGACTTTTTAGTTCCAAATCCATATCCTAATATTGCCTCCTGTACAAGACTAGAACAAACAATATGATTACGTATAAAAATTGACAACACAAATATTACCCACCATTCACTTAATGAAAAAATAACCAACATCTTTGTGTGACTTCTGGAACACGCCTTTAATATTATCTATAAAACACTTCCTTGAATGCACATACTCAGCTAAAGAGAGAAACATTTTTCCACTACCAACAAATCTTGAAGATATTGTATCAATAAAAAACCATAATTTATTGATGTATTTACTTAAAAAAACTTATTAGTACCGAATTTAAATTTTTACATATGTACCAGTATAAGTTATAAGTTATAACTACTATTATCCTTATCTACAAAGCATAATTGTAATGTATATGATTACTATGATTAATATACTTATATCCATATTATATGATTATCATAATATAAAAAAATAAAAAGTAAATTATTTTTTTTTTCGGTTAATTATGTCAATATTGAAACCGTATTAAATATTAAAAAAAACTCAATCTCAGGCTCTGTTCTGGTTTGGCAATAGCGACAGAACGGTTGTGTCGGATTCTGCAGGCTAGACACTCCTGCACTCCGGCGAAATATACTATACTTAATTTTTACTTCTCTTCTTTGTTTGATTGTTATAAGATCGGTCCATTCTATGTTGGCTTGATTACATTGTTTTCCTTTCCCCTAGAATGCAAACCTAACCTGAAAAGCTTGCCGCAAAAATATGTATTATCAAAATGGTATCATTTTTTTTTTTTTTTTAATTTACAGTATTTTTACATTGCGATAAAATATAACTCTTGATATTCTATTGAACTCAATCTAAGTACGCTTCTTCGTATTTTTTTTTTCTATAACTATCGTAATTCGTGTCACTGAACTTGACATTATGCAAAAATTGTATGTCAATGTTATTTACATCTCATAAGTACCTGCTACCTATATACCTATACACGAAATGAAAAAATATTACCCTACAATAAAACTTGTTTGGAGTAGTAACAATATTATATAAATATACACATATACATGCATATAATGTGCATCAGAGGCGTTAACCGGTTGAAAGAATTCAGAAATGAGTATGAGTGGTAGGTCGTAAAGTCAGATCCGAGACCCGAGAAGAGGTCATAATAATGTATGTTGATCCTATATATTAAGCGGTCATTCGACGAGGGTTAAGGCAGTAAAGCCTGTGGGCTGTACCTAAGGAAACAACTTGAACAGTTAATATTATATGCGTATGTATATAAATACAACGCGATGAACGGCACAGCACGTTATTTTATATGTATACCTACTTAATAGTTAATATACATATTTGTGTATTACATACATATTATTATTTTTAGATAAAGCATCATCAAAACAGGTTATTAGTATAAAGTTTTTTTTTAAGTGTAATCCGTTAACCCAAAATTAATAGTTTTTTATTATTTTTATTTTTACTGTTAGTTTATCCCAATGTGTATGATATTTAATAATATTTATATAAGTACAAAATGTTTTATTAAAATAACTCAAATTAAAAATAATATATCACATTATACAAATTAAATATTTCGCAATAGTTAAAGATTTTTAATAATTAATTAATATGTCATTAAAATATGTACATTATGTTTATGATCGTATTATATTTTTTAAGGTAATTAAATATTTATTGAAGTATTAATACAATAATACCATTGTATTTATTGATGCTGTACTTTTTTACTAAACTTTAATATTAGTATAAATTATACACTTTATAGTATGAAGTGATTTAAATCTTATTAAAGCATGAATGATACATTTTATAGTATTTCACATAATTATAATTTAATTATTTAAATAAGTCAAAGTGATGAGAGTGATTTATAATTAAATATTAATTAATAATAAAAACTTTTTTTCATTAATATTAAAAAATTCAACAACTCATACATTACTTAATACAATAACTCTAGATAATATGTAATTTGACAGGGATTTTAATGAAAAAAATTAAAAAAAGGAATGAAAAATTGACTTATATGATTAAATTTTATGTTTTTGACACAATTCAAATGAACTATTTAGGTACTTATAAAATGTCGATTAAAATATCTATAAAAATTACTGAAGTTTCTAAAAACTGAAAAGAAATCCATAATAACATAGTTATGATTGATCTTTTTTTTAATTCTAGATCATGTGCGAGTTTGTAGTCAACGATGTAAATAATATATAATAATAATACTAATACTTACTATTTTAGAATTATAGCTAGATTACTATTATTGGAAATCAGATGTATGGATGTATCCAATCTAAACCCGAGTACCTGACGAACATAATATTATAGTAACCTCAGAAGAGCATTTATCTTAGGTTGTAGCGCGTCAGAATATTGGGTTTATGAGGTTTTAATCATCTTAGCTTTCTAATTACGATCGTTGTAAAATTGCTATGTAAGTATACGCCCACAAAATTACAAACGACAAAACGGATCATCACAACAGAATAACTACTAAACTAGTTTTGGTAATTTAGTCTGTGTAACACACATTTATATAATATATACATAGTTTTATATATGGGAACTATTTTTCCAAATACAAAGACGGTTTTTTTTCTTCCAAAAGCACTTTTGACGAGAGTACCTATAACTGTGTTTTTACAATTTACAATGATCATATTACGCAATACATACGGATATATTGTTTCCAATAGATTACTAGATAATTTAACCAAATCTTATCCAACACGATAAAATGTGATGGATTTATATCAAATAAAATGCAAATGATTAGTATACAAACCAAATATTGATGAGATATGGTGTAATTAATAGTGACTGCTGTATATGTTATAATAAAGTACATAATTTTCATATTCACAACACAGTTTAGAAATCCTAAACTGGATTCGTTTGGTCCTTAAAATTTAACAAAAAAAAAAAAAAAGTCATTCTTATTCTTCATCTCATATTATGTAAATCAATGTTGGTAGCAGTTGTCCGACCGTCTATTGAATATAGGTGTTCATAAATACGTATATATATAAAATAATATATATTTAATATATGTATATTAAATAAGTAATATATATATATATATATATTTATTAATATCATATAAATGTAATTCGAAAAAAATGAAAATACTGCTGAATGATCCTTTAAATAATTTTTTGTACCTTATATATTATGTAAATAAATGCAAATAATGTATACATCAAAGAAACGGAAATAAATAATATATTAGCCGAATTACCCGGCTTCGCTTATGTGTAGTTTGTGGTTTCTTAAAATTTTATTTAATTTTATCAAGTGCTAAATAGTAGTAGTTGTTGAATTATAAAAAAACAATAATATAATGATTCTATAATTATTATTATAATTTGTATAATTTAACTTGATTTATAAATATTTACAAATGATTTTATATTTAATTGCTTATTTCTAAAATGACTTAAGTTAAAACCTTTTGGTATACAACATTTAGGATTTTATTTTATGGTGCATAAACGTATAAATGGTCAAGTCTTCCAACTTTTGAAAATGCCACATACAATTGTCCATGTGAGAAACAGTTATTTTCTAAATCTATATCACAATAAGTTAAAGTTTGACCTTGAGCTTTGTTTATTGTCATCGCAAAATAGACTTTTATTTGTTTTATTGGAAACCGAACTCTTCTAAATTTAACAAAAAAATCGTTGGGGTATTATGGTATTTTAGGTAAAAATAATTTTTCTCCCTTTGCACATCCGGTCAAAATTTCAACTTCAATAATTATACTTTTTGTAAAAGAGATGACACAGAGCTTTACACCATTACAAAATCTAGAAGAATATTTTTCATCTAAATCTGGATACATATTTAAACAGTTTTTTAACGATATTTTTTTATTTGAGCAGTTAAGCCTAACAATTATCTTAACTTATAACTATTTATTATCAATTATTAATTGTTTATTTAAAAATAAACTAGTCACTTATTTATTGTTTATAATGACTAATGGAATTATAATTATCTCTAAATTACGTAAAATAAATTTATTTATTGCCTTCTATTTTTAAATCACGAATAAAGGTTGACCAACTTTGATAATATAGTTGTTTCTTATCTTTTACAAGATGCCAAAGAAAATGTTAGTACAAACTTAGATATTATGGATAAGGCATATATTATGTGGAATTATTTTGTACTTGATATTTAATAACACACATTGCATAATAATTAATATTTTATAGAACCATCAATTAGGAAATATTATGCAATGTTTACAAAATAGAAAAATTTATTAAAAACAGACACCGCGTTTGACATAACACATTTGTATGCGTACAATGATGATATTATATGAAAAATATGACGCAAATCGTCAAGTACGGTTGGCAGTTTTCTAATAGACTATAATTTATTAGTTGCTGTGATAAGAATAAAAAGTATTATTTTTTTTTTCTTGTAACTAATTAAATTTTGCGAATCAACTTCTATTTAAATACATCCGTAACTGTAAAATTACATAATGTAGTTCACTAGATTTGTTATGGATTTAGGTTTGTTTTTTAAATGTTCAAT